TAAGCGGTGTCGAAATTTATAAAAGAACGGTAATAATAACTTTAATTAATTATTACTTTAATTATCGTCCTTTTAAACAAGAAATAGCTTTATTCTATTAGTTTTGTTTGTTGAGTCTTAAGTTAGAAAAGTTCCTTAGTTCAATTCTACTTCATCACTATATTTAACCACAAAGACTCAAATATTTGATCTCTTAGAGCAAAATAACACAAATAACCCACACACCAAGAGATAATTTGAATCCGGTGGTGGAACTTACCAAACTTGGTGTCAAAAGATACATAATTTCCTTACGAATAATTTCCAATTGGTTTCAACTTCAGATCTATAGTCAATTTTTGTAGATCTTAATTTCATTTTCACGAGTTACTGTAGCAGACAGTTTTCTTCATTCAATTCTAGCAACTCAGCTAAATCCAGCGCTACTGTTTTTAAGATTCATGAAAGTGTTCTCTTCTCTTCTAAGATTGGTTTGATTTCTAAGATTCATTTTTGGATTCACGGCCATATGCAGTAAGTAAAGGGAAGTTAGTTCAAATTACAGTAGCATCGTTTACTTGCAAAGCTCCTGTGTCATGTAAGTATAGTGCTAAATAATTACAACTGTAATGGACACACTGGCAGGTGGCCAGCNCCATACGCAGTAAGTAAAGGGAAGTTAGTTCAAATTACAGTAGCATCGTTTACTTGCAAAGCTCCTGTGTCATGTAAGTATAGTGCTAAAGAATTACAACTGTAATGGACACACTGGAAGGTGGCCAGCCACATTTAGAGGTTGCGCTGCCTAAACAATCTCCTCCAAACTTGGCACAAGCATCAGGGAACACAAATAACAACAAACAGCCGATGGATTACTCCAAATTTTTGAAACCTTGCACTTTAAATGCTGCAATGCAAGAGCAACAGGAAGTTGAGCCAATTCCTATTCGTCCACCTACAATACTGAATGGAGAACATGTTATTCAATTCACAGAAGCAGAAGTAGAAAGGATGGATATCATCGAAGGATTACAATATGCAATAGTTGGTAAATGTTCTTATGGAAGCCCATAAATTCAACAACTGCGTAAGTTAATACCAATTCAATGCGGTATTAAAGGTGAATGTAACATTGGTTTTCTAAGGGATAGACGTATTTTAGNGTTGGACTGCAAATGTGTGCTTAAGATTAAAACCAGTAATGCAAGCACTCCCCTCATGTGTAGTATGGGAACTTTGGAAAAGAAGAAATAGTATGAAGTATGGGGAGGCGGTGACAACTAGCAGGGTGATTTATCAAGTTTCATCAAATATACAGGCTTTGGTGAAAGTGAGAAAGCCTGGGATGGACATGGTACCTCACAAATGGCAAGATCTATTAGCTATGATGGAAAACTTCACTCCTAAACTTAAGGTTACAAAAGTCATGTGAGAATTTCCAAGTGCAGGATGGCTAAAAGTTAATACGGATGGTGCATCGAGAGGAAATCCAGGCAGGAGCTCAATAGGTTTTTGTATAAGAAATGAAAAGGGTGACATAGTTAAGTCAGTAGGGAAAGAGATTGAGGAGACAACAAACACAGTAGCTGAAGCGAAGGCCATGGTAGAAGCACTAAGGTTCTGCAGATCTCATCAATACTCACATGAAACTGACTCAATGTTATTAAAAAAGATTATGGATGGGATCTGGAAACCACCATGGATCATCTCTGAGCAGGTAGAGGAAATGATGCAACTTATGAATGGGAGCAATTACACAGTTACTCATATTCATAGGGAGGGCAACAAACTGGCAGACCACTTGGCTAATTATGCTTTAGATTATGGAGAAATAGAATGCCAACAATTCTGCCATCTAGATGCACAAGGAAGGAGGTTGGTTAATGAAGATAAGCTGCAATGTCCAAATCTAAGGGTGAAGGTGAACAGGAGATAGGAAGCAAAGAAAAAAGGAAGTGCAAGAGGCTTAACTTATTCGACCACTATATTCAAATCCTAAGGGATGAGGATATAAGGGTTGGTATTTCTAACTTTCTTTTCTCTAATGCAGGTGCAACTACGATGCTTATGGCAATCCATGCTGCAACTTTCGAGATAATTGATGCAAAAGAGAAAAAAAAATCAATAATCGAGCACAACAACAAAGAATAATGGCATTAGCAACCCAACCAGCATGGGGTGAAAACGTGCTTTCAGTTCATTGGATATACAACCAGCATGGTGCAAAAGTATTTTATATCACACGCATGGTTCAGTTACAAAAAGGATCTGGGAATATAAAATTGATTACTCTTCATGTCGAGCAAAACAAGAAGCAAATGGCTTGGAAACACAACTAGCATGTACAACAAATATGTTTTCGAGAAAAGCAGGCAACAAAAAAGCATGCTTCAACACAATTTTCGAATTAAGAAGGCCTCGCAGAAAACATGCTGGTGAGCAAAGGAATAAAATACAATGGAAAAGTGGAATGCACATGGAAAGTTATCTAGGATACATAAAAGCATGCAATACTCTAGGATGAAGGTAATATGTGATATATTTCTTTATGATACAACTGTAGGTGGGGCTCACGTGCTCCCCACCACAAAGCTATCTTCATCAGCTCAATCGATAAGGCAAAATGAATGCAGCAACGGGAAAAGAGGCCATGCACGATAGTTTGCGGATTCAAATAAGTTGCTGATTTTGTGATTTTGGGGAGTGGAATTTACAGCACGAAATCGACACTAACTTCAGACGTGAATGCACGCATAAAGGATATTAAAATCAGCAACTGCAAAATAACAAGGGACAACGAGCACGACAGCTACATCTAACTGTGCATTGGAATGTGCACGCATGGGTTAAAAGGTGGAGCTCAACTGCTCCCCAACACAAAGTTGTCTTCAATACTCGGCTTCATCGATAACAAAGAAGAAGCAAAACTCGTCTCCATCACGAGCAGATGGCGTGCACAACTTAAGTGCACTCGTACGTCAACAGCATGCGAACGGGTACCTAGAGGAAAATATACAATGGAGGATGGAGGGAACCCGATATGGAAACAAAGTAATGCATGCGTTAAACAAGGATCAAAGCAGTGTGAATTTCACATGCACATTCTTGGATGTAGAATTGTATTTCAAAGTTTAATTGCATTAAGGTGACATCAATGTTGAGTGTAATACTCAATTTTGATAATAGGATTCTTATCATGACATTGTATTTCGTTTTCTATATGGTTATTAATAAAACTTGCCCTAGGCGTTTGCCTAGCGGACCAAAAAAAAAGAGATAATTTGTATCAAATGATGTCATTTTTTCCTACTTATATATTTCCTTATCGTATTAATACATATACTCCATTAAGTAATATTTCCCGACGAAGTTGTGCTTCATTAAATTGTGGACTAAGTTGAAGCACGGTTTGCACATCATTATCTTTGTGATTTGCCTTCATTTTAACTTCACTAGGTACTAGCAGGATGGATTTAGAGGGGCGGGGCTTTAACCGAATCCCCTTCGCTGGAATATTTACACTGTACCACATATATAAGACAAAATCCAACTTATACCTCTATATCTTTTTAACACATTCCAAAAACATAGCTCAATAATCAAAGGGATTTAAAATCTTTGTTAGATTGCCGGTTTAATTCTATATGGCCACAATCTCTTATAATTATGTAATTTATTTTCTTTTCTGAATCCCTTGGCAAAAATCCTACCTCCTCTAGATTCTAGGAAAGGAGGGACAACGTAAAATGGGCTATATAGTCCATTTTATGCTCGATTTCTTTTTTATTTGTCTATGAAATTGTGTGTTCTGGGGCGGCCCAAGAAGATTGGTGGCCTAAAGCCAATTTTTAATCTGGGACCTATCAAAAGGAAAAAAAATCATCTATATTTTTAATGGAAGTCTTATTTTTCTATTTTTTTAAGATGTAAAGTTGTTAATAATTTCTTTTATAAATAATTTAATCTCTCCTAAGATATTATTGATCTTAGATAATTGAACTAGATTCAAAAAGTTTATAACTTGATATCAAAATAATTTTTGATGTTCTAATATATACTTGTTGAAATGCTTGAAACCTGAGGGGGAAAAAAGGAAGAAAAAAAAAGAATGTGCAATATAATTTTATTCAACGGTGCTTTTCAACTCTTGTTTTTTATAGAAAAAATAAAACTCTTTTTTTTTCTACAGAGAACAATATAACTTATCGAGAACTTAAGCTTTTTTTGTAAAAATCAAGAAGAGAATATAAGAATGTAGTACCCATTTCTGATGAGAAAGATAAAAAAATAAAACTTGGACTATTGAATTGTACGTTTTTAGTGAGAAATGTAAAAAAAGAACAATAATATAGATAACTCACTAATGATGTGAATCATCAAATTTAAATAATAAAAAGTTTTATATTCGTGACGATGGTTTAGGGGGAGTGGTTCTCTTTCTCCAATTTTTGCTTAAACGGTTACATCAATACTAAATTAAAAATTATACTTACTTTTTATAAAATAATTTATTTTTTTTAATTTTAACATACCCCATATATTTAGACCCTACTTCTAAAGATTGTTGTGAGATGTATATGATCCAACTTATCTTATATTGGGTTCGAGTTATGTAGTTAAAATAAATCCTGTTAAAACATGTTCTCTTTTTTACTAGGCTTTATGCAATATGAATCTAGATTAGTTGGGGGCTCAATACAAATACGAATAAAAAACAAAAAGAAAAATTTGTAGCCTTTGCTTTAGTGATTTGACCCTTGAGCCGCCCCTGTGTGTGTTAATATGTATTTGAATCTTGACTTTTGGTTTTGATCGAGTTTGATCATGTTGAATGTGGTCTTCATTGGATATAATTTATTCACATCGATCGTGTTGCTGTTTCATACTTTAAATAGAAATAAAAAAACACAACAGTTGTTTATTTTTAAAAAAATAATTGGGCAAATTAAATTCGTAAACAACCCTAGACACTTTTAACTATGGTAATTGTTACCTATTAAACACCTGATCAATGCATACAGTAGACACTTCTTTACGTATATATTGAAGAGAGAACAAAACTAAAAACCCAAAAACCCACACACACATTTAATTTCTAACTCTACATACATATAGTAATGAACAAAATGTGAAAGAACCTACTGCTACATTGTCCAGTTAAAGATCAAAAGCTTATAGAACTTAATTTACATATAGCCTAGTAGTGAAAGCCCAAAGCTTATCATTACAAAATGGCATGCTTCATTACACCCCTGTTGTAGGTACGCCGGCGGCGGTGGCGCCCTTTTCTCCGGCGGGTGCACCGACGCCATATTCGGTTTCCCGGTAGCCGGGACCGTAACGGCTGCTGAACCATCCGGCATGAAGCATGAGAACATAGAGCAGTTGAGTAAATCCTAGAACTATCACGAATCCTTCAAGTACTCTTAGCCTCCATCCTCTCCATCCTCCTATATTTATCTCTTTGCATGCCAACCTACAAAAATGTTTATTATACATTAATAAAGACAACAACTACAACAAACAGTGAATTCCCACAAATATTGGTGTTGTTTGGCGCGTGTATACATTATCAACGCACCTTACCCCTACCCTTGTGGGTAGGGTTTAAACCAGCCGAACCGAATCATGGGACACGTAAATCCATATCTTCGCGCTAAATAAAATTTTTTAATATACGCATTTTCTGAGAGTGATCTAATATTATTTGTTGACACCCATGTTCTAAAAAGAACAAATGGTACACTTAATTGAATATTAGGTTATTAACCCAAAATAATAAGGATCAATTCCCATATAATACTTTTTACTCTCTTTTTGGTGGTTCACGCATCCTTTAGATCCTCGAGAAATGCTAGATCCGCTTCAAATATATTCAGATACAAAAGAGGAATTTTGAAAAATGTAATGTGTACGCGACCTTACCCTTACCCTCATCCTTACCCTTAGGGCGGATGTATGTGTGCAAACTAGGATACAACTTTCAACCGAGAGGACAGAAAAACTATTTCCAATACATTTATACATAGACGAATTAAAAAATATATATATATACGCAATCAGATCATTTATAAAGTAATTAAAAGTGTCCTAAGTAAAGATAAAACAATCTGCGTAAAAATTTTATTACCCAAAAGCTAGAGCAGTCACAGCCCATGCAACTATAGCTGATGAACCAGCGGCAGCAAGACTGTCATTTCTCCATACCCTCAGATGATTTCCACCCATAAACTTTGATATTATTCCCAAGACGGCCGCCAGTATCGCGAACACCAAAAAGAACATTGTGGCTCCATTTCCACCAAAACCTCCGAATATTAAGAAAATATAATATCAGTAATCTTTTTATAAAAGAATAAATAAATCAAGTGTCCTTTAATTTCTATGCTTAGGAACAATAAAAAATTAAAGCATACAACTAGCATAAAAACAATAAATAAGCTTCTCGTAATAGTACACAACTTGTCCTTGACCAATATTTAAAGAAGAATCAACATAAATAGGTAGTCGCTCACTCACCCGCTTAAATTAAAAATACCCGAGCTATATAACCACTAAAACTAAAAAAATACAACAAATACAACTGTTTAAAGTAAAAATATCCAAAAAAAATATAGTAACATATATATATATAATATGTATATAACTATGCATAGTTCATATATAATCTATATATACCGACTAAGAAAAGTAAACAGTGAATCACCGATTGATTATTTGTGTAAAAAATCCTATTTTTAAAGGGTAATTAAAGAGAAGAGAGGAGAACTTACTAGGATGATTAGTTTGGCCATTAATGTACCTGTTGAGACACCAACTAGCAAAACCTAAAACAATAAAATACATTACTAAATTCAGAAACAGTAATGGAGCTGCAACACTTCTTGCCACAGTCCTAGCCATTTTTTCTTGCAGATAACCAACTACTTCTCTTTCCTTCCACAGATTTGCAAAATTAGACCAGAAAACTTTAACTTTATTCTTTTTCTAACGTTAATTTATATAAGGACAGAAATGCAAAGGTGGTGTATATAACATATATAGACAATAAGTGTACAAATTATAATTGTACGTGTCATGCTTAATTGCTTTAAATGTGAACAGGTGGAGGGACACTTGTCACTTTCTGCAGACCTTTCTCTTTTTCTCATTTGGATATTATATATTGTTACATGCAAACAATGTCTATCCATTTGCAGATAGATGTGATGCCTCAGTTTAAGACACCATTTATTTTCAGTGTTCCTTTCTCAGATTCCACATAGGCAAAAATTTAACTGTACTTAGTAGGCGGTTGGACATAAAAATTGTATTCTTCGAAAAAATATTACAGTTTTATGTGTGAAAAAAAATTCTGAAAATTTGTTTTGAAAAATTCATTTTTTATTAGGTAACAATCCCTAATAAAAAATAATAAGTTATATATTTGACCGCTCAGCCAAAAAAATATTATATTTGTTAGTCAAATATATAAAAAATTATGTGTAAAATATATATATATATTGTCGGTTATTGTTTTTTGGAGCGGTTACTGTGTGAATTTTCCAATAAAATATGGCAAGAACTCGTCAATCAAGAAAAGTTAACTATCTCCGGACATATTATTATATAGAATAAATTAACGTCGGTATTAGCTCTCTTGATTCGTACATTAAATTAAATAGTAATTTATTATTTCTTTATTAAAGCCAATACAATTTACACCACACAATGAACTTGATATAGTTTAAAAGTTCAGTTAAAGATTCGGTTAGCACTTTGACAAAAAATTGAAGGACGATAATATGTGTATTCTAATTATTTTTGTCACATCTAATTAAAATCTTTTTAATTTGCAGGCCTAATAACAAAAAATATATTAGATGGAAAAGCTAATCGAAAAGGAACAGTCTAGACCAGTGTAAAATATTCTAAGCCCATAAATTTAGTTGAAGTTATGCAATAGAAAACAAAGGGAATCGACCAAGTATAATACTATGCCTAATTAAAATTGCTTAATTAATGAATTCATTCTTTCTATCTAAGTAATTAAACCAGACATAATTATAATACCTAACAAAACATTAATTTGTAGAGAATCTTGATAAGATTCTAAGTGTGACTATAGTATATTCTAAGCTGTGACTATAGAAGTTGTATAGTTTCTAAGACCATCATTTGACTTATAAACAAAGGTAAATTTTCATAACAAGCTTAATATGGTAGTCTTAAAAATAGTCTTTTTAAGTTATATGCATTACCAGTGTAAATATTTATTATCAAATTATTTAAAGGATATTTACATTTAAGTTTCCATAAAATATAGAGATTTTTAATCTTGAAAAGAAGACATACTATATGCTATAACAAGTAAATATGTCAATGTATATAACTTAAACTCTAAAAATAAAGTAAGAACAAACCTAATCAATTATAATTAATTACTATTTATATACAACTTCTATCTTAAGTTATATACATTGATAGTATAATTTTTTTACATTATTTGTATAATTTAACATGTTATAACATGTCACTTATTATTATATATTACCAATCAATGCTTGTTAAATATAATTACTTGTAATTGTCCTTTTAAGTGATTTGATGGTATAAGTATAATTTACACCATCAAACGCTAAATACATATTTCCGAGGCACATAACCTCTTTTAAATAATGGGATTATTTAACGCTAAAATAAAGGCTTCTTTCACTTTTAGCCCGTGTCATAAATTATTTATATTCAGTAGCCGAAAAAGTATATAAAATTCGTATAATTTTGATATATAACATACAAAATATCTATATATATATATATTCGATTATTATTTTTAGAGCGGCTATACAGTGTCATTTTCCCCTAAAATAATCGAACAATGTAATGAAAAGCAAGATTAACTTATCTAGATGAAGAACAGCCTTCTGAAACAAGGGATATGAAAGATCTTGTCCCCCCTTCCCAATTACATGTCTTCCACATGACATATTCACATGTATGGAGTTTTTTCTTTCCTTTTTTCAATATTCATTTAGGTATTCTGATTAATTTAAACTTATATTATATAAAAATTCATTAAAAGGAAAAATACTTCTTATCAGAATTTTTTACTTTCACGAAACTTGAACCTGAGTTCTTTAATTAAGATCTTATCAATGCCACCAGAATTCTTGATGATGAAATTGCAGTAGTTAAGAGATGCCTATTTTAAAATCAGTCTTTTGGGCTTATTACACCCATAAGGGTGCTAGCTAATTAACCATGGAAAATTTTTATAAAACACTATCTTTTAGTGGTAATTAGCTATCTATAGATACCCTAATAATTACGATCACATGACTTGCCATTGAGATTCGATCACTATCTTGGAAAATAGGTATTACAAAGACGCTGGAGCAAAACCATTATGGCCAATGTCAAGTGGCCATCATAATTCCCATAGCTGTTAGCACGACGAGCCTAGAGAGGAATAGTTCAGGGGTGGATAGTATGAGATAGGGGAAGTTCTCTGTGGAGAGAATTAGCATATCGTTTTCGAGTCCATGTCGTCAACAACTGCTCGCTTCTCAATTGAATTGGGATAAAGTAAAAATGGATAGTATGAGACAGGGGAAGTTCTCTGTGGAGAGAACAAAGAGGGGTTTTGGTGCAGAGAGGTGATGTGAGCATCGTGTTTTCAGGGAATGAGGGAAGAGAATGACATGTATCAAAGTAGAGAGAGAAAAGAAATAGTGTAACTGAATAACGTATTTAGTGGCTTAGGGACAGGAGGTAACCAAAACTAGATATTTTGCCATAAACATTAAAAGGTATCTATAGAATATAATTTTTTAAATGGTATTTATTTAAAATAAATAAGGTGTTAACCTTTGTTACAGGAGGTAAAAATTTCATTAACAATTAGCCTGCCCCAAATAGCACGGGCTAGCCAGTTTTCGGACTGGTAATTGAAAAATAGCCACCGATTGCAAAGTCGTTGAAAAATAGCCACTATTTTGCTGCAACACGGAAAGTTTCAGCATAATATACTGGAGATTGGTGCACCTGTGTATGAACTTCCAGCATATATTATGCTGGAACTCCAACACATGGAAAGTTCCAGCATAATATACTCAAGATTAGAGCACCTCTAAATGAACTTCCAGCATATTATGTTGGACCAGTATATTATGCTGGAACTCCAGTATATTATACTGGAATATTTTTCGAATTTTGAATAGTGTTTTCGTTTAGATTTATCTTTACATAAAAAACGGTTAAATTTCAATTACTTTTGAAACTCTGTGTTTTTTTTAATTACCACTTGTATATTTGGCTATTCTTGAATTTCTCCCTGTTAAATGCTACTATGGTTGTTAGAAGATTCACTTATTCATAAGAGAGGTCGGCTAGAATTAGTTCTTTGCATCCAAATCTAAGTTTAATCAGACTGTGAAAATAAGGGATTCATCCGCCACGTGAGAATTGCCAACGATCGGTAATTCGAGTCGAATTGCTGCAGATGGTCTGCTTCCGATCGAATTGCTATAGATGATCCGCTTTTGGTCAAATTACTACGGTAAAATCTCACAAGTGGGGCCTGGAGAGAGTAATGTGTACGCAGACATTGCCCCTACTCTGAGGTAGTAGAGAGGCTGTTTCCGATAGACCCTCGGCTCAAGAAGACAAAAAGAGATAATATATTAATACCATCAACAGACATAAGAATAAAAAAATAGATGAAAAACAATAACAATACCCAGTAAAAAAAGGTCTGGTACTATGATAAACAGAAAAATAGTGTGAACACAATATTAACCACGGGCAATCTAAGATAAAAACCCTATCAGACTAGCCTCACACCGGTACGAAAGTAGAAAAATGTTCAACTACCTCCTAACTTACAACCCTAATGCTCGACCTCCACACCTTCCTATCAAGGGTCATGTCCTCGGAAATATGAAGTCACGCCATATCCCGCCTGATCACCTCTCCCCAATACTTCTTAGGCCGCTTTCTACCTCTTCTCGTACCCGTCAAAACCAACCGCTCAACATACAAAAATGTATATATATATATATATATACACACAATAAATATATGTATTTTAACGACTATTATTTTAAGAGCAACTATACATAATCATTTTCCCAAAAATAAATAAACCCCATCTTTGCATATCTATCATTAGACGTGACAAACGAGGCATCACATACACAAGGTATCAAGAACATGGATTTTCAGAAGCTAACGTGATTCTATATTTGTTCTAACATGCTGCACTGAAAAGTACATAAAATTAATTTTATGGACCTCAATTTTACCACCATCAAAATTACGATCAGATTCATTCAACCAATAACTAGGCTCGCATTTTCAGAATACAAGATAAATGAATTCAGCATAAAGTAATATTTAATATTTTATGTGCCTGCATTTAAGATTCTGATGGAATATTAAACATATATTCCTCATGATGGAAATTATACAACTCAGAACACAGTCATGTGAGCCTCAATAACTTATATAGAAAATATTTTTTAATAGATTACATTATAATTCAACCCTACATTATTTGGGTATAGTTCACATATGTCGTCTGTTGTTTTATTTGTTGGATGTATGAACAAAGTCCCACATTAGTAGCTGAAAATATTTGGAGCCTACATATAAAGCATAAGAATCTCTTAATGACGTGAAATATTTTGGAAAAAATTGTACAAGTTTAGCCTAAAAGAGAAAATATTAATACGGGGCTCGGTTTGATTACCTTAAGAGCTTGGAAACGCGCACACACAAATAAATTAGTTGCGGGCTTGAGCTACCATAAATACTCCATCGATTTAATCTATCTTTTAACTATTGATTATTCACTATCCACCAAAACTTCTAAAGAAAAATAAAGTTTCTCTAGTAGATTAAAGATGAGACCAGGAAAACCTCTAGAAGCAAAAAAGACTAGTGTACATTCGATTTAGAGCCAGTACATTCAAAATAAATATATGATTTAATTATATACATATATATATACATGTTTTTAAATTTT